TTTCAGTTAAACTAAATCAGCACTTTAAGTGAATTTGAGGCTCCTCATTGCTGTACGTGCTCATTTTTGGTTTCAGAGTCCGGCTGCCGGGGTTTGACTCGGCGGTGGCTCTAAGGCACCTTTTGAAACCACAGAGGGGAGGCGACACGGTGACCCAGGCAGCACGACGGCTTCTCAATGCTGAATGAAATGAATGGCAAAATTAACGGGTAAGGAAAAACCCCACCTCACGCTGGGAAAAGACCTTTGTCTGGAGCAGTGTCCGCAGCAAGCATCTATGCCTTCTCTGAACAAGTAGTTTCCCTCAGCTCTAAGCCTACACACATTTTTTGCCTTCTGTTTTCCATATCTTGATAGTGGTGCAAAGTATATTCTATTTTCTGCCTCAGCTTCCCCCAAATTTTGAAACGGATACAGTTCTGAGACTTCCCAGCTATGAAACTCCAGCAAACTGTTTTACTTGGAGGCTCTCATTTTTTTATAAAGCTCTGTAACCTGCAGTGCTGTGACATTAGCACCCCATTTTGCATTAAAAATAATCCAGACACCCATCTCTTCAATGGTAGGGCTGAAGCTGAAAACGGAAAGCTGGAAAGCGTTCCTGTGAGCTGTCGACATTCGTTTTTAATTTGACTTGCTATGAAAATCTGGAAGAAATTTTATGATTTCTTTAAGATCTGGCCCGTGATTTTTAAGTGCTTCCGATCAATAATGCTGAACCCTTTCCGTATTTTTGAGTCACGTACTGTTTTCACCTGACAAACTGGTCCACAGTAAGCAGTTGTGGCATGTGAGAACTGAAGCTGCTGGAAGAGAGCACTTTCCCTATCTGCTGTGATGGTGCATTGTCGTCTTCAGCAGATTAATTAATCTATTGTGTATTTTTAACAAGCATCTAAGAGGGTTAATGTCTGCCTTTCACTGGCTCTGCCCTCCAGGACAGTTTGATATTTTTCCTTCGTGACAATTTTATATCAGGGTATACTCTTGGGTTTACTTCTACCAGATGCCTCATGTCAAAGTGGATCTGGTGAGCATTTTAACTTTCACTCTCCTCTTTGTTATTATCCATTTGAACGCTGTAGCTCAGCTGTGCCAAAACAAATCATTCAAATTCTCATTTGGATGGATCTTTTATTCTTTCTGGCAGACTGAAAGGAGCCTCCTTCAAATCTGAAACACTGCTAAAACTACAAAAACAATCTGTACCACAAAAAAGCCCTCTTGGATTCCTTCCTGTAAGCACATTTTGGCCTGGTTTCTGCTGTTTCTTTTATACTTTGTCTATTTCATTTTTTTTATATGCAACTGATTAGCATCTTTATTTGCTTTTAATATCGTTTGCTGCATGTTTGATTCTGAAACATCACCACGCCCCCGAAAATATTTTTTTTTTTTCTCCCCCCGGACATCTCTCAATCCATAGAGAAAAGAGCTGTTACGGGATAAGGCCAAATTCACAAGCAGCAGCGCTGCCCATGGCTTATCTCATGCACTAGACATTAGGTAATCAGTGTAAATAGTAGTAAGGGAGTGCCGCTTGCATGTCTGGCAGGCACAGACATGTGCAGCATGTGTGCAACTAGTAGGTTGCACAAGTAGGTGCAGCATGTGTGCAACTAACTTTGCACAGGCAAAGAAGAAAGCACGAGTGCGCTCCTCTTTCAACAGCGTGACAGCCAGGGAGTCACCGGGGGTGCTTATTATAGCCCTTGGTCTAGCATACAGCACTGAGTTTCTATTGTATCAGCAAGTATCTCCAACATCTAGCTCTTTCTTCAGTTCCACTCATTGCATTACTATCCGAGGTAAAGACACGCTGCTAATCTCTTCAACAAATCTCTGCTAATGTTTTTTCCTTTGCGAGTGCTTCTTCCTTCCCCGCACGACGCGAGTTTCCTTGTCTTTGCACACTGGTGTAAAACCGCTGTAAAATCTTCTGGGTAAAACAGAAGTAAATTTAGAGTCGAGCCCCAGCCAAATGCCAAAGCAATGCAAATGACATCGTGTACTCACAACCCAATTGATCTATTTCATTCTAAGGCTTCTGTGAAAATTGTCTCTATCTATGTTTGTGCCAGATAATACTAAAAAAACCCTACTCTTTTAGCAGGAAGGAGTCCGCTTGAGACCAGAATCGAGTTTTCATTGCATCTCATGATGACGACGGTGATGACGACCGACCGTGGAAAAGAAGGTATGAAACAGCCACTGCTACGGTTCCAAACCATGCCATGTGCTCAAGACAATTCCACCATGGAATATCACTGGAAAACCCTTTTCCTTCGAGTCTCTGCAATGAAGGCACCTGTGAATGCTGTTAAAGATGATGATATTCCAGAAAGGTTGCCAGGAGCTCCAGCACTTAATGGCACTTTTGAGAGGGAATCTGTGAGTAAGAGGAAGCACATATGCCAACTGCTGGCAGAGGAATAAAATGCACAAGGTTTGCATTAAGAAAAAAAGCATTCATGCGTAGTCCTCTGTAATACAGTAATAGCAGCAAAGAAGTTTTTTGGACTTGAAGTAGATGCTAAATAATAAGCCTTTCTTATTTTGAGCATTAACAGATGCTGTAAAAGCTAGCAGTTCTCACCACTCAGTGGCTGCCTTATAACAGTATATGAAAGTTGTGCACAGGAATAGCTAGTCTGAGAGCTTAGAAATATTCATTACAAACGAGACAGCAGGCTTTGCAGATGACCTTGTTTTCTAAAAAAAATAATTTTTGCAAAATCAAGAGCAAACCCTCTTGCTGTTAAAGTAATTTTCAAGTCTCTGATTTTTTTTTTTTTTTTTTAATACCTTTTGCCAGGTGGGTTGCTGCCAAACAGAGTTCCCCAGTTGGGATCTGGCAGAAAAGCTAAATGCTTTGAGGTATGGTTCCACAGCAGCCTAAACTAAGATCAGCATCGCTGTGCTGGTCCCAAAAGCAAAACTGTCAGAGAGAGAATTGCTTCATTTTGGGAAAAGCGCTGGTAGTACTGTAAGGGAGAGGGTAGGACATGGAGCGGGAATGGGGAGATGAGACTGCAACAGCACTGATGTAGAATGGCTTAATAAAAGCTCATGGAGCCACAGTCTTTGTAGAGAGGGTGCCTGCATGAAGTCCTGCTTCCTTTGAAGCTAAGTGCAAGCCAGAAACAGATTCACTCACACCCTGAAAACATTCTCCCCATCTTCGACCCCTCTGTTTCCTTTCCACACTGTGTACGTAACCTTGGGGATTTAAAATCTGCAGAAAAAAGCCAGGTTCCTCAGGCTTACACTGAGGAACACGATGCTCAGCACATCTGAGGCATATGAACCCCAACTGGGTAGAAGCTGGCCATCTAAATCCTCCTGATCTGGGTCTTCAGTTAGCCGACGCTCACAGCATGCATTTTAGCAGAAGCTAAGGGAGCAGCACTGACCCCAGGAGTGCAGATCTGAGCCCACACCTAAATCCCAGGTTGCGTCCCTCCTTACCGAATTACAGCTTTGACTCCAGGAAGGATTAAGACGTGACTTGTGGTTTAAAAGGCCATCAGGGCTTGCCTGTCTGAAAGCTGGTCCTACCATGACTGCCAGTGGCCCGATACTTGTGTGCACACACAGGCTTTACGTGTGCTGGCAGAGCCACCCCCTGCATCTGAAGTAATTTGCCACTCTCTGCATCTGAAGTAATTTCCAAGGCCCACTGGCTATTCCCATGGATGGGAAGGGCAAAGAGGGATAGAATTAATGAAAAAGGGTAAGTAAAAACATATCAGGAAAGCGACATATAGGGAATATGTCAAAGGTAATCAAGCTGTTGTTGTGCTTCACGGGACCCATGTCATGCAAGATACTTGTTGCTTTGTTATGGGCAAAGGTGTAAACTCTGCTCTGTTGCAATCTGCATCAACCATACCAGGAGAGAGTCGGCTTCTCCCACCGGAACAGAAAGCATGAGTCAGCCCTGGGGTTTGGGTGCTTTGTCCTTTAAGCCATTTTTAACCCTCAAAATCAGGGTAGGTAAATCCAGGCATAGCAGCTGATGCCCAATTGTCACACAGTGACAACACCGCCAGGGGAACGCTCTGTGCAAATCCCGACTCTTGTGGGACACAATGGCGTGAGCTATCCTCTCCAGTGAACTCAGCAGGCCGAGGGCAGGTGCTTGAGAGCGAAGGCACTAGCAGCCAGCCGGTCAGAGGCGATTGCTCAGCTCTGTGGGCTGGGGTCAGGATGCTATTTGATGCTGTGACACACCTCAGAGCTGCAGTTCCAATCTGCGCTCCACAGGTAACTTGCTGACTAGGAGACTATTTTCCTTCCAGCATTGTGTTTTGCTTTTCACAGACGCAGGCTCCCTCAGGTTGGTGGGAAAGAGCTAAGCACAATGTAGTCAATATATTATTGTCCACCACGGTCCAGAAAAAGTTGGGAATCGTTCTCTGAATTTGTTTGTTCATATTGCTTGTTCAGTGCCTGAAATTTGTTCTACAGCAGCAATCTTGTGCCCTGCAGAAGACTGTCCCAGGTAAAAAGGAAACCTTCAGGTGGTGAGAGGCGAGACTAGGGTAGAGCAGGACAGATGAGGTCAGATGCACTTGCCACAGTTTGAAGAACTAAGAAGGAAAATAATATAAAATAATATTTTCCTTAATTTCCCCTCTGTCTTTGCTTGATGTCATGCCTGAGGGCATAAATGTCTTCAATATAAAAAATATATTGCAGCTCTCCAGGTGATGGCCCTGGGCCACAGCCTGAGAAACAGTGGGCTATACTAGGGTAGAGCAGGACAGATGCACTTGCCACAGATGTTCCTCGTTTGAAGAACAAAGAAGGAAAATAATATAAAATTGACTTTTCCTTAATTTCCCCTCTGTCTTTGCTTGATGTCATGCCTGAGGGCATAAATGTCTTCAATATAAAAAATATATTGCAGCTCTCCAGGTGATGGCCCTGGGCCACAGCCTGAGAAACAGTGGTGGTGTCCGATTCCCAGAGAAATCCTCTGAGATGCCTTCCTTGCTTTTTTCCTCTCCCCCACCCTCCCCTAGGGCTGTCTAACTGTCTGGCTGCTTCCCTGTGACATTGCAGTCCTGAAGGAAGTCAGGCTGAAAGTCTCTCTCACCAGTTCACAGGAAGGTAACATTGACTTCTGGAAACAGAATGAAATAAAGAACATCAGAGGTCCGTGCTGGCTTCTGCGAGCGCAGAACTTCTCCCCCGGGCTGTCCCATCTACATGGAAACCTGTGGTGATTTTCAGGACTTTACATTCCCAGACACTGGCAGCAGTCTCATACACTAGCTAAAGCAAGAAAGCCCTTAGCAATGTCACTACCCTCCGGGCTCTAGGAGCAGTCCTCGTTGGAATGGAGGCCCAAGAGCTCCTCAGCCAAGCTGATGAGACCATTTTCTTCCAGGGCTGCGATCAGCCGTGCTATTGTGGCCTTCTTCCCCTCCGACTGGATAAATCTGAGAAGCAGCTGATAAGCTTGTTCGTATAGTCCCTCTCGGTCATACTCAAGGGCCAGGTTATCAATGACAGGATCCCGCAGGGCCCGGCAGTTCTTCTGCAAAGAGCGACCCACTTGCTTCCATTTCTTGGACACGAGCTTGGCAAATTTCTGGTGGTCGTCTGGTGTGAGCGTTCTGTTGGCTGAAAGGGACAGAGGGCAGGTAAAACATAGGGGCTTCATGGCTGACGTGATGCAGCTTGGGCCAGTCCAAGGTTTGCTCAATATTCTCGGGAGCAGGGAATCTGTTCAGTGTCCACAGCACGTTATTAAACTGCTGTGGACCTGCTCTGCTTGTCCCCCAGTGTTTTAACACTGGGGCAGCACTGTGAGTTTGGAGCAGAAGTGCAAGAGCAGTGAAGCCAAAGGGACTGCCCTGCCATGGGCAGGGGGTCATGCACACGGGTCTGTGGGTTCTGATGGCATTCCTCCACCACTGGGAAGGGAAAATCAGCTGGAGCAAGCCTCACCGCCTAGGGTCTGCCTGGTCTCTGTGTATGAGCTGGACAAGTCTGCTCTCCATGTAGTCTGCCATCCCCCAGGGCAGCGCTGGTGTCTTGGGTGGCAAACTATAGCTCATGGTGACACATTTCTGCCATCTGCCCTAGCACGTCTGAGCTCCCTGCCTGGCTCAGACTGCTCCCTTACTGAAATCCTCCCACAACATCAGAGTATCTGGGCTTGCCCCCACACTGCAAGCTTGGCAATGCCTATTTTCCTTTTTTTTTTTTTTTTCCCCTCCCCTAGGATGGGACTGTCCTGTGATTTGCCAGAGCTCATTTTTTTTTTTTTTCTGATGGACATCCTCTTTATTTGTTTCAGCCTTTCAAAAGCAACTCAGCAAGGCCTTTCTGACCAAGTCCCCTGTTCCCTACCTAAGCATCCTCAAAATACTGAAATGCAGACAGGAGCTCTCCCTTGGCTGTTTAGCGCTGGAGACTGTATACGCAGCTTAAGCATGTTCAGAAATTATATAGCTGATCTCAAGCTAAAATTGCTATGTGTCACCATCTGAAAGCTCTCTGTAGGGGACAGACCCCAAAGAAAGCTGGTGTACTGCAGGGAGCCTGGACACATCAGTCCTGGCTGAAAGCAGGGCTGATGGTGTCCGTAGTAACCTGCCCAGTCTGATCCAACCTATGCTATTAACTCACCTCAACCAAATGACATGGAGGAAGAGAACTACTCTGTATTCTTCCTTTCAGTATTAAGGACTTTTAAAATGTGAGGAACCTGGAAGGGACACAGACTCTGAAGCATCTGGTTCTGTGCCACCCCAGAAAGAAAACAGGCTGAGCCCTGATCTGAAGGAGTATGGCAATATCTTAGGACTACTGTAATTCCTTCCTTCCGGGATGCTAGGAAATCCTTGATTTATCTGAGGTAGACCCCAGTATATTGTCACATCGGTCCCCCCTTTTGGGCTTTGTAGTGAGGAAGACCAAGGGCTCTCTTGTTCACTCGTAGCTACTCACCGAACTGTTGTCCCTGAAAGACGAAGGTGACTTGTGGGGAGAGGGAGCTGCCTTGAGAAGGGTAAGGTAGAGATGGGGAGTTCAGAGACGCATAGTCTGTTACAGCCATATTGTTGTTGATGCTCTGGTGAACAATCAGGCTCTTGAGGCATTCCTCCAGCTCTGTGATTTCCTCATCCCGCAGGCGGTCAGGCTGTAATGCAAACAGCATCAGTGATTCGTGCCAGGTTCACCATCTCGCAAAGCTGTAGATGCTTAGCTGCAAGGTGCAGCTTAAGATGATGGTGTCAAGAGAAGAGCAATGAGATAGCTACAGCCTGAGTTGTAAACTGACCAAATGAGATAGCCTAGTAGAGTTCTGGCTGTAAATCTGTGAATTTGAATCTGGAATGTGATACGAAATAGGCAATCTCCCCCTCCTGGGTTTCTCACATGCAGCAGTGTGCGCTTACCAGTTGCACAAAACTGCTACTAGTCCATGTTTATTGTCAGCAGCCCTCTGCAAGAATTAGAATGCACCATAGGCAGTGTGGCTTCTCTGACTTACTCCACGTGAGGGTTAGACCCACAAAATAGGGTGACCTGATTCAACAGCTCATGCCCACCAAAGCAGGCAGCTCCTGCTATCCCCCTTCTCTCTCTCTGCCCCTCCATTACCTAAGTTTTGCTGTTCCTGGATCCTCTCCAAGCCAGCTGTTCTCACTAACCAAGAGAAAACTAGTCTGACCTCCAAAAAGGAGGTAATGAGAAAAGGAGTAACGAAGGCAAAGCATGTGGGAAGAGTCAAACCTGGCGAGCACTCAGACTCAGTCTAGCGTTCAGCTCATGTACAGCAGGTTGGTACCCAGCACTGCCCTCAGCCAGTGATGGCTGTGCCTTAGTGTTATCTTTCTGACTGTTGCACTGTTAGGCAGAGGTCAGACTGAGTCAGTTTTGGGGAACTGAGAATAAGCCCATCTCTTTTGTCCAGTCAGCTAGTTCAGCAGAGGGAGGGAGCAGCAAGCAGAAGTTGGCAGGGTATGGGATATCACATGTTGTTTGGTCTGGGGCTGAAAGGTTTGCATTTCCTTCTCTGTGCTTGCAGAAAAGCAACCTGGCAAAACATGCTCTTGTGCCTAATCTTCCTGAGTAGATGGTAACTACCTATTTCTCAGGACCATCTAGAGGAAACCAGAGCTGTAAGGTATTGCTAGTTCCAGGTGGGGAAAAAAGAGGAGAGGAGAAAGGCAATTATGTCAAGTGCCTTGGTTTTGTGGTGAGATGACAAGATCTCACTGTTCTTGCTAGCAGGATTAAAGTGCCAGTGCCAAAGTGCGTGATGAGCTAGACGCTAGATATCGCCCCTGAGAGAGAGACTCTGCCTTCAGATGGGCAGCCTGTTCCTGCTGGCAGCAGATGCTATGTGTCCCCACCCTCTCACAAGTTGTTGGTATAATGTGCAGAGTGTCTGCACTCACGCTCACTTCTAGGTGCAGTTACCATCGCTACTCTCAGAGGCGGTGGTGTGCAAGGCGGGGGAGGAAGGTGCTGAGGGGTGATCATTCCACACAGGTCTGCTGTCCTCTCTGCCTGCCTCACAGGTGTATCGAGGCACACTTGCCTGTGCTCTCAACTGCACCTTCTATAATTCCTCGTCTTAGTGGTGATAACAGCCATGCTAACGGTTATACATAGAAACCAGTGATTTAGCAGAATCTCTGTAGGCTGTTTTAGGTAACTCTATTTCCCTCCAGAAAAGCGCACGGCTTTTTTTCTGGGGAAGGGCAGAGCTATTTCTCCATATTACAGTTGAGAACTGAAGGATGGAGAAGTCAACGACCCAGCAAGCTGCAGCAAAGCAAGATTTGCGCCCACCTTCCTGAGTCCTGTGCTACCGCTCCTCATTGTTGCCTGGCCTCCCTCCCTCTCCCATTCACCTTTTCTCTGTAGATGCACTCCAGGCAGCGATCCTCATCCTTCAGCATATTGTCGAGGTGCTCATTGCCAGCCTTCAGCTCCATTTCAAGAGGCACCGTGGCCACAGCCAAGGAGAGCTGGAGGTGATTCTGGAGGGACTCCTGGAGCACTCCTTCCCGGTAACTCTGCAGAAACCGGCGGCAGTTCTCCTGCTTGCAGAACTTGAGCTGGACTATCAGGTGCGGGTGGCTGCAGTGCACTTTGAGCATGTCCACACCATTCACACTGCCGGTGCAGTCTGGCAGGGAGAAGTGAGCAGAGTCACTATCCAGACATGAGACAGACAACCCAGACCCACTCCCATCCACCACCAAGCCTGCAATGCAGTAGCTTTTGAATTCTCTTCTCTCTGTGATAAAGTCCTCTGGGCTGGAAAACCTGTATGTAAAACCAAGAGGAAAGGATTAAGTTTTTGCTGCCCTGCCACCATCAATCCCCATGAAGTATGGTGTCCAACTGAAGCCATATGGTACTACACCCCAAGGAATTACCCCACGACTGTTTATTAGGGCAGGTTTTAAGTTTGAGGTTCTGTTTCCAGGACAGAAATGTTTATGCTAAACTGGTAGCACAGGAAAGTTTTAGAGATGAAAGCGCATAGTTCAGCTCAGTGCTCAGTCAGTCTTCAGTCCTTGTGATTGGAGTTTTATGCAGTGATGAAGGTCCTGGAAAGAGACCCAGTGTTTCCTCTCCACCCTGTGCCTAGAGGTAACTTTTGGCTGGCTCTGAGCCTTTAACACATCTCACAAATGGCAAATGATAGATCCAGCCACAGGAATTAGGCTGCTTGAGATCAGGCCTTGACTTGTTAAGCTCTTTTGCACAGAGAATTAATTCACGGTAAAACCTAAACAAGGAGAAGCCAGGGATGTACCCTGTGACATTAGTGCGGGGGGAACACAAGCGACATGCACAACAGAAATTGTCCAGGCCTTCATTCTTCCTTCTCCCAGCAAAATTTAATTTTGATTAGCTGTACACAGTGACCTTGACTCCACAAGGGTTTTATATGCTGATGATGACGGTTCAGAGCATGTGTTTTTCTCTGTTTTGCAGCAGAGGCCTGCGGGAGGCTGGCTATACTGCTGCCAGACCCGAATTAACCTCTTGGCCTGTTGTTGCACAGGGCTGTACGGACGTATCAGCTCAGACTGGCACTACATCAGGTATTTCTAAACCATGGGTCATGGCATTATTTAGACATGCTTGGAGGACAATCCCAAGGCAAAGCAGACTTGTGTGCTCCACATTAGGCAGGACAAGTGACGTGGCATTTAAAAGTATGTGATCTAACAGTGGCTTTACAGGGTTTACTGAGTCCTGGTTGCATCAGAAAGTCTAGTTTGGACCAGATGTGTAACTGGGACATGGGGCTAGGCAGCTAGGAAAGGCACTTTAATTCAGTGTGGCTGACCAGAAATGTCTTTTTATCGCTTCCGTCATGCTTTGTTTTTTGTGAGTGCTGGTTAAACAAAAGCTTCCATAACAGGGTAAGAGGGCTGGGGAGGGAAAAGCTGCACAGACATGGAAACCTTTATGAATGGTATACAAGACAGCTGTAAAGCTACCTCAAAAGAGAGGACTTTGCACGCGTTTCTTCATGAAACTTCAGACAGCTTCAGATTTCATCTCCTTTTTAGGTCTGAATAAGCATGGTAGGATTTAGTGGTTTTGTGGGCTTTCCTTTAAATGTGTGAGCAGATTCCCATTCCAGTGACACAAAGCAGCCATAAATCAAGCCTAACTGGACAACTGTGTCGGGCTTCCTGCTGCTTCACATCTTTGGATCAAGCTGCAAGATGAGCAGGCCTGTATTGGATGAACTAGCCGACTTTGCTAGACTGATGATTGCCAGAATAAATTACAGTATAGTTACACAAGCCCAGTTAAACAATATAGGCTCAGCTGTATGACAGGTAAAGAACACCATGAGAGTCATTCTAGGTAAATATGATAAGCGCTTCAAATTACTGTTGTTCTGCCATCAGCTTGGTACAAGGATTAACAGAGAAACATAGTTTTATGGCCATTTGCATCTCAAATCCTTTTCTGGTGTAAACAGGATCACGTACAGCTGAAGCCAATGTAATTGTGCCTGTTTATATCAGAAAACAACTTATACTGTCTGTCACTCATTTTAAAAATCAGCTTCTCAAAGCAGAAAACATGTTTCTGTGGTGGTATAAAGACAGAAATTAAATCTTCTTTCACAGCAATTGCAATCTTTCCCCCTCTTACATAAATAGGCTTAAACAAACATTCATAAAGTAGGATAACTCACAGGATAGTTCAAGTTGGAAGGAAGCCCAGGCAGTCTCTAGCCCAACCTCCCATGCAAAGCAGGGTCAGCTCTGAGGTCAGACCAAGTTGCTCAGAGCTTTATCCAGTCCTGAAAACCCCCAAGGATGGAGAATACACAGTAGCTCTGGGCAACTGCTTGACTGTCCTCATGGGAAAAATGTTTGTCCTTATATCTGGTGTCTACCTTTCAAGTTTCAATTTATGCCTGTTGTCTCTCATTCCCCACGCACCACTGTGAAGAGTGTGGCTCCATCTCCACCTCCCCGTAGGTATTGGCAGCCTGTTGGTAGGTCCCCCTCAAAGCCTCCTCTTCTCCAGGCTGAACAGGTCCAACTCCCTCAGCCTCTCCTCACAGGACAAGTGCTCCAGCCCCCAACCATCTGCTGAACTTGCTCCACTTTACTGTCTTTCCTAAATACAGTGAGCCCCAGCATTCCCCTTACCCATGTGTGTGAGATTAAAGAAAGGCATGGCGTTGCACGAAGAGATGAGACAGCATGCCAAGACATCAGAGAGGATGGGTACCTGCGAATGCCAGCTTCAGCGCCCTGAACACACTAGGTTTCTTCTGGGAGCTTTCGTAGAGAGAGGGCAGAACAATAGTCTTGCATGTGGACTGGAGGAAGAGATAAGCGCTGCCGATCCAAGGAGCGGAGCTGCCTGCCATCTTCAGCACCCTACAAAATCACACAGGTGAGCTGAGAGACCATAGGGAAAACGGCCTGAGGCCGTGAGAGTGCTTACAGCAACCACTAAGCACAAGCATGATGCGATTATGGGGATTTACCTTTATTTCCTAGAGAAGGTTGTGATGTTGTTAAAGCAAGTATAATCTTTAAGGAGTTTACAGTTATTCTGTAAAGCACAGCACAGCGGGACATAGTATCCCAAAGACTTGGCAGTTCACAAAGCTCTGCATTCATTTTCCACTGGAGCCCATTCATTTTATAGTCCAGAGACTGAAGCAAAGAGTTTCAGTCCTTGTGCCTCTGACTGCCCAGCCAAGATGTGTAACTGGGGTGCTCCAGGGAGCACCCAGCATTCCTGGTTCTGGCACGTTCGCACAGACTGAAGCCCTACAGCAGGCAGAGGTGTTTTGCCCAAGGTCCTGGTCCCCTGGTTGTCCTCACTAAAGGATATGTTACAGAGCCCAGGGCTCATGTAGCAGGACACTCAGGGCTATCCCTTTGCTTTACATACTAGTTCATTTATTGTTCCTCTCCCACCGTTCACCTCTTGCAGCAATGCACCTAGAAGACAGCACATCCATCTCCCCATTCTCATCAGACCTGTTCCTCACTGGCCAGCTAATGCAATACTTGCACCTAACACAGCAGCACCCAACTCTGCTCCCAAGGCAAGGACGAACCAAAACACCTCCCAGGCTATGGATACTCGGAGTGGAAAAGCTGTGCCAGATTGGGCAATGCCAGATTGAGCTGTGACAGCTGGAGAGCATGTATCTGACAGCGCAGGAGACAGGCATGGCCACCTCTCCTTTCTGGTGTGTACGCAAACCCCTGAACATGTCCGCGAGCTGGTCACCGCAAGCCCCCCGAAGCTGCTCCCACAGAGAGCGGCGCTCGGAGCCAGCCCTTCCATCACATCATAGTGACAAGTAATTTGGGGCTTTTGGCTCAGCTCCAGCCCCACGTCCTACCCCCTCTCTCTGACCACTTGCTTGCACCTCTGTCACACCATCAGCTGCTTCCCCACCGGCATCCCTTCCTTCCTGCTTTCTGCCCTGTTGCTCAACCCCAACAGCCTTCCCTTGGCTGCCAAACACTGGCCTGGGAGTAAAACTGCTGACCACAAGAGTGTCCCTCTCTTCAGATGTCCTTTAGATTGTGGGTGGGAAGGTCTTTTGTTGCCAGGGGCTGCCAGACTGAGAAGGATGACCTCCCATGGACAGGCTGTCCTCCGGGCGGTAGCTGGGGCTGGGAACCATCTCCATCCCTTGCAGCACGTCAAACCAGGGCACTGGGATGTATGGCCCACCCTGTTTCCTTACTATAACCTTAAACTGTGCCTAGCACAGGAGTCTTCTGCTTCTTCAGAAAATACAGGAAATAACCAGTGAATCATAAAATTCACACTGAACTTCAGGAGTTCAAGGAATGCCTGCAGGATGCAGGAGTAAGTCTTTCCAGGCCATGGGCTCCCACATCACACAGGCCTTTAGAAAAGCATCTCGTAAAGAAGAAAGAGGAGGATGCAAGGCTGCTGCAGTCCAGGTCTGGTCTGAGCCTTCAAACACCGGGAAGTTTGGGATCTGGGCACCCATCTCCTAGTGTCTTGCAGGAGGGTAACAGAAATCTGAGTAACGCCTTATAAAGCTACAGTACAAGGATCCGTTTCATCCTGTTCCCGTCGCTGCGGCATGGACTCCGCTGCCCCTGCACTCCTTCCCCACGCAGGCCAGGCTCTTGCCTCGTTCAACTCAGCAACGCTGAGGGAGCCTGGAAATTACACCAGGCCTCCAAAAACTCAGGTAAGGAGCCCTTTGCTGTTGCGTCTCTGCAGCGTTATCCCAGCAGGCAAGTTTTCCACTGCAATGAGTGCAGCCCCATCCCTGCCCCCGCTCGGGAGTGGGGACCCCTCACTGTGGGTTTGGGCAGCAGCAGCACTCAAACCGTTGTGGGGTGCTTTAGAAAAACCAACCCCAGGCAATAAGTAACGTCTGCGATCACCGTTACTGCCTTTTTCGCCAGCCTTTGGCACGCGTCAGGCTGCTGCCGCTTAATTCCTGTAAAAGACTAACTGGGAGGGGGCTGTCTGTATTTCAAGGAAAAAGAGCGAGGGCAGCGCCTCCGGGGCAGCCGCCAGCCCCCGGCCCCCCCGGCTCCGCCGCCCGCGG